CCTCTCAGCTCCGGCCTCTCCTGCCTCACGCCCCGATGTGCAGCATCAGTCCGGGAGCAGGATTTCTGCCCTTCCTGCTAGAAGAAGTCCTCCCCAGCGACGTGAAAATACCCCGAGTGCTCTTGGTTCTCTTTCAGACCTTCAAGCATCTGTGGCGTTCATTTCTGACTGGTTTAAATTTCTTTCGAGGCATGTGACTTCTTTTGGTGTTCACGGCTGAAAAGCTGAAACGTTCTGTCACAGAGCAAACTTTTTAGTTGATTTAAAGCAAGAAATGACTCTTGAACACGACAGGCTGTTTCTGCTTGCTGGGTTTTGTGCTGTGGCAGTCAAAAAGCATGTTTTCTGTTTTGTGTAGTTGGTGAGTTTTGGTTTGTTTGGTTTAGTTTGTCTGTGTGAGTTTTTTCAGGTGAATGTTTATTAAGAGCATAATAAGGGCATTAGCTCTTTGCACAGAAACCTCCATTTTTATTGCTATTATAGAAAGCAGCAAATTCAGTATTAAAAATGTGTAGATGTTAAGTGTTTTGTAGTTGCCCTGTAGATTGACTTGTCACAATAAGCATTAACCAAAACTGTGCATATTTAAAGAATACCTTGGCTCTATGGCACAGCACCTGTTCTGGGCAGTATTGTGCTCATTGCTTGCTAGTGGGCATACATTTGTTTATCATTAGCCAGATTTGAAGGACAAGGTATGTCATGGTACAGGAATAGTGTGACAGAAAGCCAGAAACTCCTTCCTGACGTAGTTTTCTTTTTAATGTTAATTTGTGGTTTAGGTGGTTAAAAAAAGTTAGGCTGTCGAGTTATTAACAAAACTGGTAATGAACCTTAACACAGGAACGTCTGGCACTGCATGTGACTTCATTGTGTGGCAGATGTCACAGGAGATGTAACAGAGCTGTTTTCAATAAAATGCAGAATTTTCACTTTTTGCACTTTTGTTTATCATTCTGTGATTGGTCAGAAGGAAACTTGCAAAAGATGCATTTGCTGAAGAAAGAGGCTTATAGCATCACTGAGGCTGAGCAAACTCTGGTGCTAATGTTTTCCTGTAGGTAGAGTTACAGTGTTAACTAACAGTACTTAATTTAGAGTGCAAGACTGATTTAATGAGATGTAACTGTAAATCTGTAAAACTGTAAATATTGTGTGTGTTCTTTTAAAGGAGACAACATACTAGTTTCTCTAAGACCTTGAATTGGTTAGAAATAAGCTTTGTTTCGTGGTCTCTTCCTTCTGCCTTGACCAAGTTGCGTAGCAGCTTTCATATGAGAATCATTCCTGAATGTATTTGGGGAAAGAAACAAATGGCAGTGTTCTTTGGGAAGGCTTGAGAGAGGAAATGCTTGACTGTGTGCAGCAAGATGTCCAAATATGTATGGGGAACATAAGCATGGTTAAAGGTCTGCATAAGACTGATTTTAAAACATTTCAAAACCAGATCTTATAGGTTTAGAAGAAAATGTTCTCAATTCCAATTACTTGATGTCAACCCTCCTGACACAAGGTAAAACATAAAAAGAACTAGTACTGTTTCTTTCCTTTCTCCAGAATGTTTTAATAGAACTGTTCTGGGGTTTTGCTTCCTTTCTGAAGTTTTATAAAAGTAATATCAATTGAAATTTTCTGACAGTGCTAACAATGTTTTCCTACCTGTTCCATTCCTGTCAGGGGCCAGCTACAGCACAAAAGTCAAAAGTTGTTGGAAAGTTGAAGGAATGACCACACTGTTTTCCTCTCATCTCACTGAAGCAGGTGTATCTATGTTTTATACAACTGAAATGACCTGTTAAGTCTGGAGGCTTCTGAGCAAAAGAACAAAAAGGTAAGTGTCTCTAAGTAGACTGCATTACACCTTTGTATAAGATGAGGTGTGTGTTTTTCAACAAAATCTAATTAATGTGCAACATCTTGGCTGTGTTGTTGCATGTAGTGAGTGGAAAGGCTGCGTGCCAGAAACAGGGGTGTGACTGGACCCCTCAATGTGTAACATACACAGGCAGGTGTGGGAAGTATCAGACTCTCTCTGCCTGTTGGTTGAAAGAGAGCACACCCAGAAGTGTGGTGCTGCCTCATGAATGACTTTGTCAGGGTAGTCTCAGTCTCCCCTTTCTTAGGCATGGAAGCAAACAGTGGTTTGTGGGTGACTTCATCATAGTCTATTAGGTCATAGTCTATTTAATCTACTTTTTTAAGCACAGACCAGCTCAGAATGGTACTTTCTCTGTGGCATTATGTGTATTCATGTAGTGGAAGAAGGAATAAACAGCAGATGACAGAGGATGAGTCTGATGCATTAGTTGTACATGTTCTCAAAGGAAAGTTGGAGGAAGGTCTGAGTAGGGAATGCAATTTTAACTGTTACTGTCATTTTTTTAATACAGTATATCACTGTGTAACAGATACAATTTCCATTTCTCTTGTGGAATCATCAGTTAAATCTTTAGCAATAGAACTGCAGTGGCCTAAGGGGATATCTTTCAAGAAGAATGAGCAGAGAACAACTGAAAGCTTTCTTAATAGAAAACTTGGAAGCTGTGTTTGCTATCCCATAGGCTTTCCTGTCAACTGCATCAGCTTGTGACAATGTGGGAGGTCTGCATTCCCTGCAGGGGATGCAGAGTAGTGAAAATAGACTGGGTGGGTTTAGAAAGCCACGGATCAGCCTTCAGGCAGAGGTTTCCTACAGATGTAATGTTGATTCTAGAGGTAATCTGACAAATGGTTCCTTAAAAAGCCCACTCACTTCTGTCGTGGCACCTAATCTAGGTGGGTTTAACTGTTAGAGAGAAAACCACTGCTTTCTTTGATCCACTCACAAGACTGAACTTTCATTTAAGAACTCAGCTACCAGATTGAATATTAAGAAGCAGTCTGGGAAAAAAGATAATCATGGCAAGAGAAAGGTAATACACATAAAATAAATACAAGATTAGCAGTAGGTGAGTACAAGTGGACAGAAATAATTGTTACTGTAAATTGCAAGAAATAGACCCTCCAAAAATTGCTGGAAAACAGGCCTTAGCAAATAATTATATGTATTACCACTGAAACAGGTGCTGCTTTTCTTTGTAATGGTGATACAAAGCATGAAAATTATCTAACAAATGAGAGTCCATCAGCAGATAAGTTATTTAGTGTCCATGGTGCCACGTGTCTTACTGTATCATCTGTCTTTGTGAGAGGACTTTTAACTCTCTTACAAGAAAGCTTACCAGGATAAAAGCTAGGGATATCACCCTAAGCTATGTTTTCAAGATAATTTGAAAGGAGGAAGCAGTTGGGTTGATAATTAGAAAAAAGTAACATTACAAACCTTTATGGTAGGTCTTGTTGGAAGTTGTGATTTACTTTGAAAATAGGGTGGGAGTTAAATTCCATGAGAAGTTAAGAGAGTAAAAGAAAAACTTTCAAATGCAGTCAGGAGAAATATCAATCAAGGCAGAGTTGAGGATTTTTTTTTTTACTCCCTCCAGCTATTATTTATTCAATACCTGGCTCCAACGTACAAGCTACAAGAATTTTTCTTAAGGAACGTGTACACAGAAGTGCATAGGGATCTGGTGGTACTGAGATTTTTTTATTGACCAGACTTTCTGCCAGGCTGTTGCTGCTTGGTGCCATTTGTAGAATTCCATTGTCAGGATACTGCTTTTTGTTAGTGTGGGGGCTTCCTGCTAAATCTTCAAAACTCCCTGGTATAGTGAGCAGGGTGTGAAATAGGAGTGGGCAGGCAACTGGTGCACTTCTAATTTGTTTGGTGAATTAACAGTCACTTGGCTGTTGTGAACTGTTGTTTGTTTGCATTTGTTCATGTTGAATCCTTTGGGGACAATGACTTACCCTGTCAAATGCAGGGCACATTAGGGAACAAGAGAATGCTTTTTCTGGGAGATGGAGCCTTTCTGACTCTTCACAAACAAATTCAGCAGTCCATGTTGAGTTGTACAGCTACTCTTCACAGTCTAGTAGAGAACTGGCTACATGAGGGATTCTGGAGTGCATCTACCTTAGCCTGGTAGACTTCTGCTGCCTTATTTTTGTTTCTGAGTATAGTTCTTCTGTGCTAAAATATAACTGGTTAAATGAGCTCGAAAGAGATGTATTTATATCTATGGACTTGGTTAGCTGGTTGTGGCACTTTGGTCTCTCTGTGTTTTATTTTGGTTGATTGGTGCTGTTTGGTTTGGGACAGCTGATGTCTGGAAAACTGCCTTCGTTGCTGTAGTTTTTTACTGAGACTTGGTTTTGTATCCCTGTACTCATGCACAGTATTACTAGTGTAATACTGTTTTTCTTCTGTTTGAAATAATTGCTTATTTGGTCTAGCTATGAAAATAACTTCATTTTTGTCTAGACTGGCAGATGCCTTGGAGATCTTCATTGATTAACCCCATGCACTGATCGCTTTTGGGTGTCATATAATTGTCCAGTTGTAATTTTTGGAAGTGCTCCATTTATTTTCTGAATTACTGTGTCAGTAAATGAAAGGCCATAGTAAGTTTTGCAACTATTTAGGAGAGACCTGGGAGATGCACAGGCTTTGTTCATTCTTGCACAAACCATTAGCTGGAGCAGGATTGTGAGAACTTTGTGTGCTGTGGTTATGAATCTGTGACAGAAATCTAAATGATTCTAGAAGATGTTCTGTTGAACTTTTTGTTGTTCATTTTTTGCATAAATCTGACTCCTATAAAAGCAAATAATTCTCATGCTTATCTAGATGCCTGTATATTTTATATATATATATATACACACAAAAATTTCAACTGTAATAATATGAATCACGAGTGTTTCTTCATCATATTTACCTCTCAGTGTATTCTGTAAATTTCTTCTATGGATGGTATTTTGCAATTTAATTTCCTCAATCTTTCCACATTAACATACTAAACATTATAGACTATACAATGTGAAAAACTTCCATTTTTCACTAAGGGTTGTCAAAATTGCTGTTGCTCCAAATGATTGATATAGGTACGAATTTGAAAGTGATTTTTTTTTGAAGTTTTAATCCAATGATGGAAGGTAAAATATTAAATATCTGGAAAGTGGTGCTCACAATTTAGTTGATGCAGTTTACTTGAGTTCAGATGTTTGTGGTAGTAATCCTTTGGCAGATGCAGATTATGTTGTTTGGTTGCAAACTACTTTATACATGTAAAGATTTTAGGTTGATAGAAACATGGCTCAGACAATAGTTAAAATTTTTTTACTGTGACTCTGGTGTGAAGATGAAGCCTTAAAAGGACGAGTAAAATGTCAAATGAGCTTTAATTTATTCTTAGGCCATAAACAATGAGAACTGGTTTCACCAGACTGTTGTTAATCTTAACACTTCGTAATAAGAGTCTTGGTGGTCTTTCCAGGTTGCACTGCACACATTCTCTAACCTGTTGGCAGTGAAGAACCTTAAGGGAAGAGGAGCTGATTGTTTCAAATGTCTCAACCTTCAAAAGCTTGTTTATGTGTTTTAAAGCTTATTTAGGTTTTTTGTGTGAATGTATGCTTGTGTCTGTTGGCATTTATTCACAAAAAGTAGGATCCTTGAATTGACTTCTTAAAATCTGGCCCTCAGTGTCCTACCCTTTCAAATATTGTGCCTCCATTCCCATGAATCCTAGGAAGCACAAGTATAAATATAATCTTTAATGAACACAGAGATCCCAAGCAGTTTAATTGTTATTGTAAGATCATTGGAGCCCACATTTCTCGATAGTGTTACTATATTAAGTTCTGGTAATTTTAACAAAGCTCTGTTTATTAGTTCAAGTTAAATCCAGTAAAATTGCTTTGTCTCCTTGCTATTCTAGATTCAGGGAAGAATGTTCAACTGTTTGTAACTGCAGAATCTCATAAACAAAGTTGTCTGATTTGTTTTAAATTTGCAGAGTAATTGTACTTCTGTTCAGCTGCTGACAAGCGTGAGCTTTGTATGGTTTTCAATTTTTGTGCAAGTGTAGAAGTACATATGGGTGATATTGGGGAATAAAACGTGTTTGCAGTGGAAAACTACTTGCAAGATTTTTTCCTTGTGTGGAAGAACTGCTGCTGCTCTGTGATAATGAGAAAGTTGTAGCTATTTTAAGGCTATGGTGGAGTATGTTTTTTAAATTGTTCATGGCAGCATTACTTTGAGAGGCTGCCAGAAGCTGCTTCTACAATTTGACAGAAAAAGAAATAATATTATAAAAGGAAATATTTCATGTTCATTTTACATCTTTCTGAAAACTTATTTTCTCTTGACATAGAGGAGTCCACTTCCTTAAGGGTTTGTCCTTGTGTGATGGGTACTTTTGATGAGAACTTAATCTTGTCTGTTGTCTGAAGGTCACAGAAGCATAATGTAATCCAGGTTGAAAGGGACTTCAGGAGGCCTTGTTCAAGCCCTTGCTCAAAGGAGGATCAGACTCACTTGGTCAAAGCTCTATTCAGCTGTGTCTTAGAAACCTCAGAGGATGGAGACTGCAACCTCCTTGCACCCTGTCTTCACTGCCTGACTTTTGCCTTATGGTGCAAAAGGAGGGGTTAGGGTTACTTGGCCATAGTTTACTTCTGGAAATGTGGGTGGTTATAAATGTGCTTATTAGTATTTGGGGGTTTTAGGTGTGATTGGATTTCAAAGTAAAATTTTTGCAGCATTAGAAGAATCCTTCCGCTTATATACTGATGAAATAACCTGCCTTAATTTTAGTGAAAATGTTTGGATTTAAAAAATACCCTGACAGATAATACCTTATCTTCATTACATATTTATTCAACTTGATTAGCTCTGAATAACTCTAATTTGCATCATTAAAGTGTTGAAAATGAAACAGAATAGTTGGTTGTAGTTCTATAATGAAGTGTTCTATAGAAATTGAAGTCAGATAGTGAATTCATTCTCACTGTGAAGTATGTTGAAAAAAATGAGTCTCATGAAGAGTTGGGGGAATTTTACTCAGAGTAAATTTGCATACACAGAAACACAAATTGCTGCAAGAGCCACACACACCTTGTTTGCTTGAAGTGGCCTGGTGGGGTGGCAGCATCGAGGGGAGCTCTGACCTCTGTGATGTCAGGTTCCTCAAAGAGAAATTTTTCTGAGAACCGGAAAGGGTCTGTGGCTGTTTCTTTCAACTTTTCTACATCTCAGTGTAAATTGTAGTCAGCATTCTGGATTATTTCCGAATCTCAACTCACCTCATTTAATTCTACAGTTCAGCCAAAGCTCGGTGAGTGTGCAGTAGGGGGAGGAAATAATACAGAAAGCAAAGGAGGAAACGGAAAGGCTTTTGAAACACTTGGTGCTGTTCCCTGGGTGAGCAGCAGGAGTAACTCGCGATTGGGAGGGATAAGGAACGTCCAGACGAGCTTTTGTTCTGCAGAGCTTCGGCAGTGCTTTGGCTCCCAGGTGAGTGTCCAGGAGCCTGGGTGGGCTCGTGTGACCTCTGCTGAGGTCCTTCCCGTGGCTTTGCTGGTGGAGTAGCTGTAGTTGCAAAATGAGCAGCCAACTCGGGTGTGCCAGTACCTGCTGCAGTCAGAATTTCCATTTTGCAGTGCAGATCTATTCAGGGTTGTCACACCTTCTAAAAGTCACTTTTCTAGGGCTTGTTTGTGCACTCTTGTCTCTAGTGGTTAGTGCAGCCTTAATTTAAATTTATGTGAGCTCCAGTTAAAACCACTTAGTCTCTGCTGACATAGAAAAACTGGTGCTGCTGTGCCTCTGTCTGTCTCACCTGGCACTTCTCACTTAAAGTACAAATAAAAACCACTTCATGTGGAAGAATTTTTAAAACAGACTTCTAAGTATATGCCTTTTACCTTTATGAAACCTTAAATTTCTGTCAATTAGGGGAAGTCATCTGAACAAATATTGGATGTTCATAAGTTAACATAGTAATATAGCAAAAGTTAAATCTGCCTTAAGTTTTGTGGTATTTAAGATACTGCAAGGAAGGAAAAACTGTGAAAGTATCTTCCCTTTAAATTTTATTGTCAAAACATTAGACTCCAGTGTTGCAGTAGTATTTCTGTAAAGGGCAGATTGAAAGGGCAGTGATTTAATTTTGATTGCTAATAGCTTTTCATTTAAACTTATTCACATTGCACTAACATTAGTTCAGGACCACTGTTTCAGTGTTTGGAGAAAACTGAGATAGCTGGAGACCCGGAAGGGACACACAGGCTCTGTGGCATTCAAAAGTGTTTTTCTTCATTTTTTCAACTTAATGTGTGTTCCTTTGTTAAATTTTTTTTTTGTGGAGGGCTCTGATTTTTTTGCCGATAAGCTGTATCACTGAATATTACAACTCTAAACACAGTGTGGGGTTTCCTGTATTCTTTATGAGATATGGAAGGCTTGGGGAACAAACCTGTAGAACTTCAGGTTGTGGTTTCCCACTTTAATCCTGCACAGACACGTTCCTGTGCTGTTATGGGACTGTCAAAGCACTTTGCCTCTTGCAGTCGGATCTGTCGCTGTCACTTGTGTGGGACTGTTGCAGTGTCACTGTCAGCCCCCTGTTACACAGGAGCATGGGCTGACTTGTCAAGGTGCAGAGAGATCTGGGCAAACTTTCCGGTGTTGAGAGGGGAGAAAAAGTGCTTATTTAAGACTACAATGTTACATTTATAGAATAGGAACAAAGATTGTGTAGTCTGTAGTGCCTTTCCCCCCCAAAACAAACAGAACCTCTTCAAGATTGCTGCGGGATGTCAGATCAGTTGATGAAGGGTGTGTGAGGAGTGAAAGGGAAGTATGAGTGTTTTCCCAGTGTTACTTCTAGAGACCCCTTGTGTGCTGTTGGGAAATTAAGATGATGCAGCCTGTGCCATGAGATTCTTTCTTTTAGTAATGCCATTTAAAAAATAAATAAAATCCTTTTCCTTCAAGTACGTGAAGGTTGTTTGGACCAGAAGGCTGGACACTCCCTCTTCTGGTGTGCTGACTGAAGCTCCAGTTAGGAAATGGGGGATTGTTTTTAAATTGAGAAGTACTGTGGAACTCCTGCTGGGGTTTTTTTTTGTTGTTGTTGTTGTTTAAACTTGAAACACTTAAGTGTATGGACATGCTTGTGACTTCAAGAGCTGTGCAATAATACTCCAGGTAGGTTGCATTTCATAATATGTGTTTCCAGTCACTTAAAACAAGTACTCTAATGTCTGTTGACTGAGCTAATAATAGTATTCCAACAACTGAATTCCAGTCTAGAGCTTGAGTCAGAATATTTCTTATAATAAGAACCAATTGCAAAGCTAGTAATGAATTTGTTAGATTTAGATGCTTTTAAATAGTGACCCTCAATTATGAGGCATTGTGTAGTGTTTTTAATTACCAGTAACTTGCAAAACATTCTTGTAAGTTCTTGATGTCTGCCTGTAGACCTCCAAAATCTAAAAATCTCTCCTGTAAATAGTATGTAGTCCAGGAGGAAGTTTAAGTCTCCAATTTGTGCTTACTTGTCAGATACCTGGTATGGCCTCATCGTCAACACCTAAATATAATTCAAACTCCTTGGAGAGTTCAGGTAAAAGGGTGAGTGTAACTTTCTTCATATTTTTATTTTTTTTACCTCAGAGTTCTCATAGATCGTTGTCTTGCATATTTGGTTAGAAAAATGAGTAAGTAAATGAACTCTTGAATGTATCTACTTATTTTTATTGCTAAAATTCTAATGCAGTTAACTGAGTTGATTTAAATATCTTTTGGAATGGATGGGTGAAGTATTCGCTGTCACAGCTAATGAGAGCCTCCTTCAAATCAGTTCTAATGTACTTTTATCCTTAAAACTTTTTGGTCCTTTTTGCCCTAGAAAGATTCTGTATTGCAATTGCAAAGTTAAACCTTGTTATGTTTGTTTGGCTCAGTTTAAAAATGTTCATCTGCAGTGAAAAATACATTAAAACAATCTAAATGTCATCCCCCTCTGCTTTTTGATGCTGTGCAGCTGAAGAAAATGTAACCTGGGTGCAAGAAAACAGAACCTACTGAACGTAGGAAAGTCACAAAAGAGTAGATTGTGTGTGATAGTTGTGAGTACATTGCTTTAGTAATTTCAGTTGATTTGGTCTTCCAAGTCCGGTCTACTTGGAAAATTAAATGCACAAAATCTGCAGAGAACTTACAGTATAGAAATTTAATTCTAATTTAATGCAAATATAATTGACTGTTCTTTTAGGAGAAAGACTAAAACATGTTTGTTTCAGATCTGTTCAACCTTTAAATGTTTAATAGCTGCAGTTTAAGATAGTGATATGTTCCTGTTTTGGTTCAGTCTGTCAATTCCTACTGTGGCAAAACCTGTTCTTTCCAATGCAGGAATTACTTTTAAGGGGTTTTTTTAATCTGAAACCTGAAGAAATTGTAAATAAAATATGGTGTGCTGTTGTGCTTCTCTTCTCTAGACTCTAAAAGATGGAACTAACTGGGAGCAAAATGAAGAAATACCTCGTCTACCAGGAGAGACCAGAGTTACAGGTATAAACTCTAGAGCTGCCTGATGCAGTGTGTTCAGCACTCTGGCAAATACATGTATCTTACTGGATTGTTTTGTAGTTTGGGCTGGTTTGGGCTGGGGGCCAAAGTAAGTCATGCTGAAATGTCCTGAATTTTTCGAAGTAATTGTGAGAGGGACTTTTTATCACATATCACAAATGACTTTTTCAGCCTTTAAAATCTTGATTTCCACCTATAGCAGATCCTCTGATAGAAGGAAATTGCAAGCCAAGTTGTGTCATAACTGTATTTACAGACTGAGTCCTGCATGTCTAGTGATGAGAGCTCCTCCAAGCTTTCCAAAGTCAGAATTCCACAGCTACCCACCATGTATTGATACCTTGTACAGCAATGTGGAACCTGAGCCCAAACTGTGACTTCCCTAAGTACTATCTTGTGTGTCCTTGACACAATAGGACAGGAACAGGGCTACTCTGCCCTTGCTGGCCTTTACATACAGTGATGTTGTACCATAAGGGAGATTAAAGTATTTTGTTCGATTTTCTTACTTGATGGAGGATCTTCCTGAAGTGGACTTTTTGTTGAGGTCTGTCTTTTATTTGTGGAGCTTCTCCTCCCCCCTGCCGAGGATTTGTTAGGTAGGTTTGTAAACAAGATTGGCTGAGGTGAAAGCAAAGTGGTGATTCAGAGGAAGCAGTTTTGTTTTTCATGAGGAAGGCATGAGGGAGAGGGTGTGGGACTAAGATGGATGTATGATATGATCCTTATGAAAACTGTCTGTGCTTCAGGGCACCACACTGGAAGGAGGGTGCTTGTTGTGGAAGACAGATAAGTAGCTTGGGCTAAAGAAATGAGTGGACAGGAAGAAGTAGATGGAAGTCTTTAATGTCATGGCTAGACTCGATGTCTTAGAGGTCTTTTCCAGCCTTAGCAATTCTATGATTCTGATTGCATTGCTTCACTTAAATCTTCTTTTTGAGTGGTGTGTGTTGGTATTTGTTTTGTTACTGTCCTTGCTGAAACACTGCTGATGGCACTGATTTGATTCCTCAAATTGAAAGGTAATGTTTCTCTTCAGCATGCTGAATTCCCTAAACACCTCACAATTTGAACTACTACTTCAAAGCAGAATTGTTTACAGAAAGATGTAATGGCATCAACAATGTATTTCTTCTGGGATAGTGAATAGACTGGTACAGTAATAGCAGGACTCACTGTTCTGTGTCCCACCCTCTCCCATGTACTGCTGAGAAAGAGAACACAGATGTAACCAGGGAAGGCTACTGAAATCTGTGCACTTAATTTGGACAAGTTTACTATATGAGTCATTCATATTTTTTTAATAATTCTAGTGGATAAAACTCAAATTTATTACTTTTTAAATTCATTCATCTCTGAGTGGCTCTTATGAGTACAGCTCTCTTTTTATTTTACTGCTACTTAACTGATGCTGTCTTTAGCTCTCATTTTGTCTTCTCACAATCTTTAAGAAGTGCTGCATTTCTTACAGACAAGGATGTTATTTATATGTGTCCATTTAATGGCCCAGTTAAAGGAAGAGTGTACATCACAAACTACAGGCTGTACCTAAGAAGTGTGGAAAATGTGAGTAATATGCCACAATTACTTCCATGGGATGGGTTGGCTTAAAGTCCCTTCCGTTCACCCCCACTGCCTTTGATTTATTTTGTGGCCAGTTAATTTGTTTTAGTTTTGGCACACATATGCTTGTGGAATTGCATGGGAGGCTTTTTGCTTGAAATGGTCCATAATGTTTGTAGTAACCATATCTTAAATGTGTAATGGCTAAACAGTAATTGCCTTTGTGCCACTGAGAAATCTGTATAAAAACAGAAGTTCTTCAAAGTTCAATGTGTTGTGAAAGGGTAATTTTTGCCTGGTAAAATTGGTTTAGTCACACTGAACTGATACCTTATATTTTGCCTGTTGGACCTTTCTTCACAGCTGTTCCCTTTACACTTATTCTATGATAGATCAAGGGCAGCAGCTAATGATGTGCAATAGTTCTTAACATGACTGTCAGTAAACCAAGACTTTGGTTGTCCGTGAAAAGAAAAAGAAAAATACTTTGATCAGTAGAACCTCGTAGGTGGGGGAGTGGTAGTTGTTTGATAAGCAGCAAGATGGAAGAGAATAAAATGCACTTGTGATCCGTTTCATATGTTTGGGGATTTTTAAAAAAAAAGGGTTTGGGACCTTTGAACTGGGGTCTTTGTGGTTGTAGATAACTCTACTAGTAATATATTTTTTTTTAAATTTAGTTCTACTTTATACTGTATATCAATAAAGCAGTATTAGCAAGCAGAGGCAATCAATAGAATATAGCAGAAGGCATCTTTTAGGGGGTTGCCACCTACTTTCTCTGTATCCTGTATTAGGCATGAAATGTTTCTGTTGCATGTTAAATTGGATGATGCTCAAGGCTGTAGAGTGACAGTACAGACTTCGTGATATGTTGGGAGGGAAGACTCAGAGGCAGAAACATGCTTTTGCTTCCTGTATGAATTTTATGTCTGCTTTCTATTCTGGAATGCATAAGAACATTTTGCTTGAGTCTTCTTTTCAGATTAATCTTTTTCTTACTTAAAACTTTCCTTGCAGGATCCAGTTGTGGTATTGAACGTTCCATTGGGCGTAATTTCAAGGATTGAAAAAATGGGAGGAGCTTCCAGCAGAGGAGAAAACTCTTATGGATTAGATATAACCTGTAAAGTAAGACTTTCCAGTAATTAAATAGGAAGTGAAATCTAGAGGTTCCTTTTCTAATCGCTTGCCTATTTATAGGAAGGAAAAAGTAAATGTTCCTTACAGCTGAATTTAAAAAGAGCTTTTTGGAACTGGACAGGGAAATACCTTTTGTATGAAGGACTATGTAACTGTCCTCTCTGCATGCAAGGAGGATTGGTCTTGCATTTTGAATCAAAAGATTGACAAGAGGTTTTGCAGACTAGTCTTGCTTTAGGAGACCATTCCTGCATTGCTTCATTATTTCCTTTGTTCTAAAAGGAATTTTTAAAATAATCTGTTTGAAGAACACCTCAAATAGGGCCTTTGTAAGCTGTAAAGCCAGTGAGAAGTTTGTGTAACAACCATTTCTATTTTGTTAGTTTCACAAAAAATTGTTGCCATAAAAAAATACAGTCACAGGGGAGTTCCCAGTGGGTAATTCAGGGTCCTTTATTGGACTCATTAATCGAGTGTGTTTGCACATTTGGTTCTTAGCAGTTAATGTGCAGAGAGCTTATTTTTGACACTAGTGGTGAGAAAACAACCAGAGATGTATTCTACACAGAATATTGACAAATTTTCATTTTGAAAACGTAGCATAATTCCCATCCTGCAAACATTCAATAGCTTGGGAGGCTTTTTAGTGAATCAGATACAGCCCTTTCTGATGGCTTCATGCCCAAGTGGCGTTTGCAGCACACAGAGTGTGGTACTGCTTTATTTGCACAACTCTTAAACTCTATTCTATTTAATGGGATAAGAAATAAAACTGAACGTTCACAAGGGTTTGAGGTGTGTTGCAAGCAGATTCTAAATCATGTTTAGTGTATAATATAGCATTTGTACAGAGAGAAGCATCTTTCTGCTTTGGTTCACCTAAAAGGTAATGGCTTTGTTTTAGGATATGAGGAATTTACGGTTTGCATTAAAACAAGAAGGGCACAGTAGAAGAGATATATTTGAAGTCCTCACAAAATATGCTTTTCCCCAGTCTCATAACTTGGTAAGTTACATCATTTATACTACTGAGTTGTCTCTTAATGCAGAGTTCTTGCCAATTAACTTTAACTGTTTGACCTACTAATGGCTACATTACAGCTGCTTAAAAAGAGTAACCGTAGAATCTGCTGTCAGCATAAACTAAAAAAAATTAATGTTTCCATTTTGTATATTTACAACAGTTCTATCTATATATTTTGTAAAATTATGGATGCTATATGCTGTACTTCAGGTAAACTACTGAGCACCTCTGCTCCATACAGATTTCATTGCTTAGAAACTGCAAGTGATCCTCTCTAATTAGGGAATATAATAGTACATGCCTTACTTGATTTCTTGAAAATGTTAAACTATCAGACAATCCCCAAAGCAATGATAAATGTGGATCACCAGGAGTTTTACTTCAGGACAAAAAGACATGGTAAGACAACACTTGTGTGATTGAAGAAACTTATGAAAAATATAACAGGCAGCTAATCCAGTAATGAATTTACACAGATTTATTTCAGGTTAAAAGAGCATCTTATGGAAGGAATTGAGTGACAATAATGCAAGCTAACCATTATCTTCTATTTCTTTGACAAAATCTGTGTATTGTACTTGGTGTGAATAATTTGACATCTCTTTAGTAAATGCTGTATTTTGTCCTTTGTAATACTTAGTTTACACTTTATTGGTGTACCTTTATTTAGGATAGTTGTATAAGAGCTCCATTCACAAAATATTGGAGGGTTCTGCTCTGAATTTTTAAGAACTGTGTTCTGAGAATTGTTTGAGTATATGAGGCTGCAGCAAGAATCTTATTTCCTTTTACAAAGATACATGTGAGTCAATGGGCTAGACCCTGTAAACATTTAATTCTTTAAAACTTTTTTGCAGAAATGTTGTGTTCTGTATGCAAACTGTGAAATGAAAACATGAGGAAAAATAAATGCTTTTGCTTAGCATATTTTGTAGTGTTGACTAATAGGTCTTTAGAATTTAAACAGATTTCTACATTTGTGTAGTGTGAGCAGTTCTGGTCGCAAAGAAGATCCAGTGAATATATCTCTCAACTCTACTGGCATTTTATGTATCTTGCAATGGAGAATGATTGAATGCATGACAGGATATATGGACTTAGAAAGTATGATGGAAAAGAGGAAGCTATATGTAGAAATATCATTAGGTCCTGGCTTCTGTTTCAAGTAGGACTGTAGATTAGGTTATCCAAGCCAATTCTGGAATATTTCCTGCAAGGTAGATTCTGTCATGTCTCTGGGCAGTCTCATCCACATGCTCATGGTGAAGAATTTTTTTTCTTTACATCGAGGAGTTGTGGACTTGAATGTAGTGAAAATGGATAAATCAAGTTGTAACTGATTTAGGACTGAGTGCCTTGTGGAATTATTTTTTTTATGGTGTCCAGTCCGACTCTAGGGCTTGAATAATGTGTTGATGAAATGTGGACTTATATTAGGTTTTGTCACCCAAAAAGACCTGATGATCATCTCTAGTGATGGCAGTGACTAATGTGGGGAGTAGTCCACTTCCTGCTTTATTTGCTGGACCTATTGAACCAAGTAAAGCTCATCCTTATATTGCCTGCATGAGTGTAACTTGCCAGTAAAAGTTGCACTCAATAACAAAAGTCTTGGTTGAGGCAGTAGCAATTTTGCCTTTGGATTCAGTAAGGCACCAAAGCTGGGAAGATAGTGACAGTGTGGAGCATGGCTGTACTTTGTCTCAGCTATGTCTGAAGCAGGGTATACCCATTAGAAATTATGATTACTTTGGAGGGAAATAAAGTGTTCCTGTGTGACATCTGAAGTTGCACCTGTGTTTATTTTCTAATAGCACAGTGTGGATGAGCCCTTAACTTTACCACGAGGTAAGCAAGGGTGTGATTCTTTAGGTGTTCATTCACTCTGTTTTGACAAGCAGTTTAAATTGATCCTGCCAAAAGTGGGCATTTCTCCCTGTTTTTTCATCCCTGCTGTGGTTTTTCTTGCATGAATTTGAGGCTGCATGATGAGCCAGATAGGGAACTGAAAGGAACTAAAGTTAAACAAAAAGATAAAAATAAAAGCTTTACGCTAAGTTATTTCCTGTCTTGTTAGACCAGTGTGAGAGTGGGGTCAGGGCATCTATGGGTGGATGTGAATGAAGAGGAATGATGGCTCTGCCCTTCTCAGTGGCTGGTTTAGAACAAGGTTTCACTGTCTGAATGTGGCAGTGTATCTGAATGGGCTGTGCAGTGCCTGCCTTTCCCTTTGGGTGTACTCTGGCCATGTAGCCAGCTCAGTCAGGGAGATGTTCTGTAAAGAACGTGCTGGGGCTCCACATGATAGCCAGATGAAGATGGTGACCCTCTGCTACTCAAATGCTGAGCTCTTGCTTTTCTCTGGTCTCCTTCTTTCTGCTTTCCAGCCATGTGGTTCATTATTCCTCTAATACCAAACCAATATTTGTCTAATCACTAAGTAAGCCAGTGTAGCTCAGTTATCCAGCACAAAATATTCTATGTTCTGGTTAGTCTTGTGCCACTTTTAATAAGTTGAGGAGACCTGTTGTGAAATCATTATGCATCAGAAACAGTGCAAGAGAGGGCATATGAGTGGAACAGGGAGCAGGCAGGAGAGAAAAGAGGGGATTGTTCTGTTTTTAGTAATGTTAAATGTTAGTTTTGCTCAGACCCCCTTGTGGAACTGCATCCTTGATCTTCAGCTTTTTCAGCAGCACTGATGCTTGTACAGCAAAGGTCTAAAGCTTTCTTGTCTTGATTTTTATCTGTATTTTTATATTTTATGTCAGATTTCCGTGTGATTGATCTTCAGCTGTAGTGGAACCATATCCTTAGAGCTGATCCTAAACAGGAACTTGCAGAGATGCCTCTGTTTTCTTCATGCTGTACCATTCTCAGACAAATGGATGGTAAATACAGCCCAAAAGATGGAGTGGAGTGTACTTACTGTTTTCAGGATTGGTCTCCATCACCATCCCAACAGCAGTGGGGATGGTGATGGACAAGTCTGTTCACAACTGTTCCTCAGTGCCTCAGCACTGTCCTTTGTGCTTACTTCCAGCAGCTAATTCTTGTTTGTCTCCAGTTTGAGTACAGGTTGGGTTCAGGTCAACTTGAATCAGTAACATTAAGTAAAATCTGATAGCTCATCTGACTGACAGCTTACTTGGTAGGGAACAAACAGCTGCTGTTCCTAATCCTCTGTTGCATTTGCAAACTTGAACTAATTGAAAGAAAACTGTTGCTGAAAGTGTTTTTAAAAAAGTTTGAAAAAAATAAAACCAAAATAGCCAAACCTCCTGGTGCACCACAAAAGATGAGATATATTTAATCTCTGTAGTTCAGTTTCTGCATAGCAGCTGCTTCACTTCCTGAGCTTATCTTGAAACTACACATCATCATTTTTATAAGATTATTTGCCACCATAAAATCTGCATGCTGTGTGTTTATTTCTAAGCATGATAGCTCTGTGGGAATGCCAGTTTTGATGAGACACTGGTAGTCATGCTGTCTGACTTGGACCTCAAATGATCAAAGTTAGTTACATAAACACTGCAATGCCTGATCTGAGTTTTTAGATGAACAGGTAAGATGTATCTGGCTGAGTTGCAGAAATGGCATATTAAAGGCGAGGATAATGATACCTTTATTTTTAAATACACACAAAGATTGGTCAGATATTTAATAAATTGTGTATACGTTGTATATTCATTTACAAGTATTTATCTACTGTGATTCCATAAATAGTAAACATTTAACTACTGTATTTATACTGATATTTATATATTTATATAATATTTATACTGGTAAATAGACTGCTTGCCAAACTGTACTGTCAGACTGCAGCTGCTTTCTCCTTTATCTCACAGAACTATGTTGTATTGTGAGCAACCAGTGTATCACAAATTATTTTTGTGTACAAAATGATAAGGATAAATTGAATGTTGAAGACAAGTACTTTGTCTGTAGGAGACCTGAAAAAGAGACTGTGCGTGTTGAAATTGTGGGTTAGCACCTGTGAGGAAGTAAATAATTATTTGTAGAGTGAAGCATAAAAAGTAGTTTACCAAAAATGTTGCAAGATTGAAAGGCTTTTTTTTGAAGTGAAGTAGTAGCCTTCTGCTTCAAGTGAAGCAGTAGTTGTTTGCTTTTGACTGTGGATCTGCAGTGAAATCCCTACCTTCATTCTGTGCAGAGGCTTTAATTTGCTTTTGCAAAATCTTAACTGATGTATGATGAATCTTGCTTGTTTTTGCCAACTGCAGGTATTGAAAAATCACAGGCCTTGCACCCTGTAAGTGTTCTGAGTGCTCGTTTACTATCCTTTTTTCTATTATTTCTTACCTCTTTAATTCTTTCCTTGATTTCTTCTTTGTTTCCCATGGCAAAAGAATTTGAAACTGATTTTTTATTAGTTGATAGGCTAATAGGAATTGATGGACTGGCATCAGACATGTAGCATTAATCTCCATCAAACTTAGAACAGATGTGGTCAGTACACTGGAAGTGACTGAAAGCTATGCTGCTTTGAACCCAAGATGTGAGATAAAAAAATGAATGTAGAGCTGGCTCAATTGTACAAACAACAATTCTGCTTTTTGATTATATGTTCTTGATTTAGAAAAACCTGTTCATGATCTAAAAAAACCCTCACTGAAACACTTTTATTTTACTGCAGTATTGTTCTAAACCTGAATATCTTTTGTGTGTAGTGTTTGGGTTTTTTTTTAATTTACAATAACTTTTGTCAAATCTGGACACGTCTGATGAAGCTGCCGTTGACTTAATTCCTTGGAAAACAGACTCGGTGCAGTAGGAGCTGTGGAGAACAGCTTTTGGAGAGGCAGGATTAACAATGAGAGAAGGAATGGAACTTTGTGTGTGGAGGGAAGAAAGAAATGAGTGAAGGTCAGGGTGGAGACTCAGAGTACCTGAAGTATTGTTTAAGGAGAAGGAGGGTTTAACAGGGATGTACCACAGCTGTGAAGGGAAGGGAAGATCTGTGAAGAAAGTGTAAAACTGACCAACTTTTTTTTTATTCTGGTATTTGAAAGGCTTACCTGTGTGAATAATGATGCTCTGAGAGAAGCTGGCAAGGCTTTTCTGTGGGGATGTGTGATTCCAATGGCTGGTCATGTAGTTCCTTTCTCTGACCTTCCTCTGCCCTCCACACTCTGAGGGATATAAATACACACCCAGCTGGTCTGTTCTAAATGCCTGTGGGCAGTGAAGTGACCTCCCTGCTCTCATCCCTACATGAGAGCTGTGTGTGTATGAGGGGCTCTTATGTGAAGGAACCTGTATCCACAAAAAGCTAAGCCATGTAATTTGACTAAGATGGCACCTCTCAAATCTTACATCAAGTGATAAGAGAACCTATGCATGTTATATTGTCAATAAGTTTTTCTTCCTGTATTTCTTTCTGTCCCATTTGCCTGCTGTGCTGTAGAATTGCCTTCAGATTGTGTGCCCTGTGAGGTAAAAGCTTCAGCAGAGTTAAGTTAATCAAGACATACACCTACAAGCATACTGCATTTAATCCATAATCTTGGGTTATTTAGGACAAAAGTGGAAATATGTGGGTCATTAGTGCAGATGTGAAACTTGCCTGAACTATAACAAACCATTCTGGGATCTAAATATGTATTTACCACCTTGACTTCTTTGCTATAATGGGGTTTGTCAGTTTGGTGCATTAGAATAAGAAAATATCCCATTCAACAAAAAACATTATTCAATAGAAATTACTTAATATTGCTCGTTATCACATTTTGTTTCTAACAGATAAAAGTAATGTCCAAATACATGCTAAAATGGCTTGTACTGACACAGCTCATAAAATACAACTGAATCCAAGCATAGATCTTATGTTTGCTTGAGTGTATGATTCTTGGTATTAAAATGGTTATAAATATGGGTCGCTTGTTAAACTCAAACTGTAAGTTGAAATTAAATGGAAATATATGAATTGAGTATAAACATATGCAGAGTATCTGAACGCTCACATAAAAATCTTAAGTCCAGGTTTTGCTCCATACACCTTTGCATTCATTGTAGTGTTCTGTGAGTCATTAAACTTCAGAGTTTTGCTGGTTCATCCATTCTACTAGTGAATTTTTTTTATTGAGCAATATAGGAAGAATTTGCGCTACCCAGAATGTCAACAGAACTGATGAAGCATAATTGTCCACCTAAATAGTTGTGGTCTGTGTGAGTGAAATCTTCTGTAGCAGATGTGGTAAAGCTGCTGTAGCCAAGCATTTTGAATGAATCACGCTGTACACAGTAGGACATTGTTCTTTCAGAAAAGATTCAATCCTTCCCCACCTCATGCATAGTAAATTTAACCCTGGTTTTTAAAAGGTGGAAACAAAATACAGTTTTCCACTTGATGTACTGTGAATGTTTTTGGGGGTGACAAGCAGTGTAGCTGCCACTTGTTTTTATTTTGGAGCAACAACTTTTTTTATTTTTGTCAGTAAAGAACTGTTCTGCATAACAGCTATCACAGTGCCCTGTAATAAACTCATGTGTTTTACTTGATTTATCATGGCTTTAACTGGGTAATTTTTAAGTTCTCATGAGGAAACTTGCAGTAAGCAGGAACTTAAATAACTTATTCCTGCCTTTGAGACATTTTTTAAGTGATCTGTTAGGATTCCAGTGTTTCTATTTCCTACTGTTATAAGTTTCTCCTTTGTCTCTGGTTCCCTGGTGAATTCTTAGCATAGTTGCTCTTTGGGATCTAGCAAATTCCTTTGGGAGGAGGGGATGGCTCTTGTGTGTAGCTGTTTATTAATAGTTAAGCAAATCAGTTGGATCTACGGCTTCAGATAGTGATATTCCTGTTTTGCTGTATTCCTACTTTACAATTAAAATAAACAACCATTTTCAGTTTTGCTGCTTAACTTTTGATACTTGCATGTACTTCTAAGTGAACTTTTTTTTCTGATATGGTTTATGCCCACCTTTTCTTCATCTGTCTCTCCCTCCATACCACTTGATACCAGTTTACTTAGTCAGAAGAGTTTGTAATGTTTACTTGCACTGCAAGCCTACCCCTTTAAAAATGGTGAAGAAATTCAGAAAACAAAAACTGGGGATGCACTTCTTACTTCTGCAAACCTGCAAGCGAGTGCACTTGCTCTAAAATAGTGACTTAATTTAAAATTCCAGTTTATAAAACCAGTGAGATAAAGTATCTTGTGCAAGCAGTAACATCCTTTTAAAATACTTGTTTATTTGAAATACACGAGGAAAAAAACTCCTCATTTTTGAAGGATTCGATTTTGTGTTTTGATTAGAGGTGTTTAAACCAGTGTAACCTATTGGGCTGAACAGAATTGCCTGGAGCCATTAGGGGTTGCTTTCAGAAGATCTAAACCCTTGTCCCTCTGGGGCTGTGGTGCCCGTGTGAAACACTGCTGTACCTCTGTAGGCATAATCATTCATGGCACCTTAGACCACATATTTTTTTCTTGCTTGCTGTGTTTTCTGCGTTTCTACTGAGTTCCAGTCTGCACCTGTGAAAATTATGCAGATGGGATGTTTGGTTTAACACCCAATCTTTTAATGCTTTTGAATAGCTAGGAAGCTTTCAGCTCTTTTGTTACAGATGAACTGTAATGGCCTCTAGAGTACTTTCTACTTTGGCTGCTGTTGCTCAGTTAGCTCAGGACAACACATTCTCTTCTGTATTATTTTTATTTTTTTAAGCAACTTTGTTTCATGCTCCTTTTGGCATCTGAAGAATTTGTAGGCCACCAAAACCAATTTTCTCAGTGAAGGAGCTTCTTAAAATAAACATTATTTTTGCTTTCATCATAAACTGTAAAAACAAACCAAGTAAAAAAAAAGGGTTAGGTAATACAGCCCACTTGGAATTGGTTGAAAGGAGGAGGAAGCTAAAAGGTATGAGGAACTTGTTGGAATGCTGGTTGAGGATGCTGTGTTGTATAAATGAGTCATGAGAGTGAGCAATAAAGCAAGAGAAAAGTAGATAGTGTAACCATATAATTTTCAGTGGCAACTTTTAAATTTTCGTGGAGTTTCACAGTAAATAGGATTTCTCTTAGAGAGGATCGGTTGGGGAGGGGATGCAGAAAGGCAGCTGCTTCCTAATGGAAATGAATAGCAACTGCAACCTTTTTACACTTTGAATTTAGCATTTAGTATTGTGTGTAGTAACTGCAGCTGTGCCTATTGGAGGAATTTTGGTGAGAAGATGGTAGTTTACTTGGTGATAATGTGAAATACAGGAAACAAACCATTCTAAAACATTTAAACCTCCTAACAGTAAAAAAGATCCAACTGTTTAAGCTTTATAGTTTTTATTATTTTTTCACCTCCTAACTGTTGTCATATTTTCATTATTTCATTAGCAGATCTGCATCTTCTGTTACCACTTCTTGCTCTTTGCTTTACAATGTTGGACATACCAGATTTAAATGGAGAGAGTGGGGCTGGCATGGAGCAGTCAGTCCTGTCTTGTGGTGGGGATTAGGGTACAACTGATGATGAGCCCTCATATTTGCCAATTCCAGTCCAAGTTTGGTGTGTAATCAGCTTCTCTTACATCTTACAGCTTTTTTTTGCCTTTGTAAATGAAGAAAAGTTTTCTGAAAATGGATGGATGGTGTACAACCCGATGTCCGAATACAGGAGACAAGTGAGTTACTAAAGTTGCCCTTGCCTGGTGCTTTCACATCTGACAACTTGCACAGAGGAGTTACTCTTTGTGCATTGCTCTTACCAGTTTTTGTTATTGGGGAGGGTGGAGCTGAGAATTGGAGAGGATGGAAATGCAACTTCAAAAAAATTAAAGAAAAGAAATAAAACACTGGAACCTTTAAAAAAACAAGAATGTCCCAGGAAGGTAGTCTTTGCTCTTTGAAGGAAGTTATTGATGCTTCTTACAATTTGCCACTGCTAAGGCTACAGGGGGTGGGGAGATTGTGCAAAATATGTAACTACAGTGTCCTAAACATAGATTTGATTTGGTCTCCTTCTTCCTGAAGTAAAAGGGGGGGGGGGAAGCAACTTGTTTTAGAAACAGTGTTACTTTACAGAAATTATCAATGTCTATCAGTATTCTACCTTGCTCCTTAGGTGATTTTGGAAAAATGTCAATGAAAGAGGATGATATATTTAATTTTAAAATATCTTTTAGATAATGTATTTTTTGCTTTAAATACAAAATTTAAAAAGATTAAATAGCAGACAGTAAGAACTTAACTTATTTTTTATTCCTCTGTAGTTGTCTTTTTTTGATTCGTGGTTCAAGCCTAAGACCCAAAAAAGTGAAAATACAAACACCCACACAAACCCCATGCTGTGTGTATGGAGGGCTTATCAGTATTTCTCAGTTTCCTGGAAATGCCTTACTGGGCAGACTGCAACTAGGAGTTGCTCTTTCTCAATCAGAAAGTTACCCTGAATCATATTTTTAACCTGAAGGTAGTATTGGGCTACAGGGAAGAAAGGTTATTATAGGACTTCCTCCCACAGCTGCTTAGGACCACAGCAGAGAAGAGAAAGTGGAAAGGCAGAGCTTTAAGGAAGGAGAGAAGCTAATTTTCTTTCCTCAATCCCACAGTTAATAATATCTCCTAGTTTCAGTCATTGTGTTGTAATTTACTGTAAGACTCAAACTCTGTACATAAGGGTATGAGATGACTGTGCAGCTGTTTAAGGCCGCAGATCCATCTGCAATGATCTGGTTTGTGTGTTCCTGTAATCTTTTTCTTCTATTGTTTTGAAACAGTGCTTCAGTTAGGTTAAATTGGTAGATTGTTGCCACCATGTGGCCGTAACATCATGTAAAATTCAAGAGCAGAATTAACTATTTGTGCAGCCAAAGACAAGCAGCAAAACCGTGTGTTACATTTCAGGGACTGCCTAACGAACGGTGGCGAGTGACTTTTATAAACGAACATTATGGGCTGTGTGACACGTACCCAGCACTCTTAGTCGTGCCATATAATGCAACAGATGAGGATCTCAAGAAAGTTGCTGCCTTTAGGTCCCGAAACAGAATCCCGGTGAGTATTATGTGATGGAACTTACCTCGAGGTGCAGCTCGTTTGAAGAACACATCTGTACAACTTTCTGCCGAACATGACAAACAGGATGCTTTTTTTGGAAATGGTTACAGCAAAATAGTTTTGATTGGCTGGTGGTTCTCACTCCTTGCAACTGGTGTCTTGGCCAAGCCACGCTTCCGTTTTTCCCCCCCAACAATCACCCATTCCAGCTTCATTTGTTTAAACTTGACTTTTCTGGTAACAACAGCCAGCAGTGCAGTTTCCCTTTTCTTAATGAAGGATGAGCCATCTGCACTGGTTGGTTGACTATTGCTGGATGCCCATAATGTTATCCTGTCAGCAAACCACATGCCATTTAAACATAGTTCCAATGGTCAATCCTAAAATAAGACCTCATGCGTGGTTTCTGTAGTGAATTCTTGGGCTTTTTAGTTTGTGCAATTTAAGAAAAACCCATTTGACTTAAGTATATTTCTGTAATGAAAATTCTTTGAGGTAAGAGAATTTTTATGTGTCAGCTCTTTACAGCACTATAGAAAATAGTAATTTCTATCCTAATACTTGTTTTAACTAATATTTGCATTTGGCAAACGTGGAAGATGTGCTGTATTTTTAGCCACTATTGGAAAGCTGCTTTGAATCTCAGTTAGTTTCAAACAGATGCACAGCTCAATATGATAAATATTTATTAGATATGGTATTTACTGACAGACTAGGCCTATAATTGTAAATTTACTATATATATACACACACATATATCTGTATAACATGTATAGAATATATATATGTAATGTATAGAGTGTGCATATAGTTCTTCTAACTTATCTGTATCATCCCTGTCACCTCAAAATTCATGACAGGGTTTTTCTTATGCCTGTACAGTGAGAGTAATTTCCTTTGGAGTAGTAATTTTATTAAAATAGTAATTTTAAATAGTAATTTTATTCTTGTCAGGAAATAGCCAATCATGCTCACCTGCACACACACTGGAAGGTCTCATTTCTGATCCACAACTCAGAGTGTATTTCAGGGCTGAACACTTTCTGAGGATTGTTTTGGGGTTTTTTTGAACTCTGTTCTTTTACTCTGTAACCCACAACTTTCAGACTGGGTACAAATGCTCTTTCTTAATATTTTCCAACAACGAATTTGCATTTTTTTGCTTGCTTCTTGAGTTTCTTGCTTATCTTTAATCTCTGGCACAGCATCTGTTCCCCAGGCAGTTCTCTGTCTCTCTTTTGTGGCAAGTCCTCTCTGGCTCAGAACAACAACAAAGGCAGCATGTGCTTTGCTCCAGTGCCTCCTCTTTGTAAAGAGGGCTGAGGAACAAAATGTGCTTTAAAGAGAACAGAAAACATTCAAGATACTGCAGAAAGGTTTAACTTCCCTTCCTTATCCAAAAAAAAAAAGGGGAAAAGTTGTTCTTGTAGAATCGGAGCATCTTAGTCACTCTTTCTACAATGAGTTCATTCTTCTGAATTATTTTTTAGTTTCAGCAGATATTGCTGTGTTTGTTTCTAGTTTGCTTTTCAGAATTATCTGTGTGACCTAAGACTTGTAGGAAAATAGTAAAATACACAGGATTATATAGGTAAGTATGATTTCAGTAAGCATTAAATATGTAAGAGAATGAACTCAAAGATTACTATTAAATTTTATGAGACTAAAGTAAAAGCAGATGAGGTGTCTAGGGATTGTATTTTGACAAAATAAAAGCTGTTAATGTCCATGTTACCTCTTTTAAAGCTTTAAATTTAAAGTTATGGGTTTTTTTATAAAATGCTGCTTTTCTGATGAGTGTGTGACACGTGAGCAGGTCCTGTCGTGGATTCACCCCGAGACTCAAGCTGTGATCATGCGCTGCAGTCAGCCCCTGGTTGGAATGAGTGGCAAGAGGAACAAAGATGATGAAAGATATCTTGATATCATCAGGGAGGCCAACGGGCAGATCTCCAAACTGACCATCTACGACGCCAGGCCCAATGTCAACGCAGTCGCCAACAAGGTAAACGGATACTTTTAATACCCCTGTTTTTGAAGGCAGTGGGGAGGACACTTAGTTTGAAGTTTTCTGTGAGAAGGTTTTGGGGAGTAGTATAATCTTAATATAGATAAATTTACACAGTCAAATACATATGTACATAATCAAGTACTGAGGCTTAAGGCTGTGAAAGGACATGAGGGCCTAAAGTAGGCCGGGTTTCAGGACCATACGTGGATTTCCACATATGCTTTACTGTGTCATCAGTCAGGCACAGATCTTAGCATGGGACTGAAATCAGGCATGACTCCACTCTGCAGTGAGAACTGGGGAAAAAATTAAGTTAATGTATTATGGACAAACTTGATACACAGATGTGTATTGAAGCATGAAGCACAGTTTGCAGGTTTTTTTAAAGTTCTGTGTATTTCACCCATGTGTTTTAATTAACTCCTGACATGTCTAAATATGAAATGCTCCATCAGAGTAGTAGAAGAAACAGTGCATTTCTGAGTCTGAGGGACAGTGATCTAAAAAGTGCAAGTCAGAGTTGATCACCGCTGGAAAAAGTTTTTGTGAACAGCTGTGAAGATTGGTATAAGCAAAATCTTGGACTTTGCCACTCGTGCATTCCTGTGTTCCTTGAACATAGGTCAAAACCACACAGTCAATAGGAGTTGCAGCAGCCCTAATGCTAAAATTACAATCATTCCTCACCAGGACTTCATAATACTCAAAGGGAAGAGAAAAATACTGTCATTTCTTCTTTCAGTGCAGAGCCTGGCAGCTCTGAGAATAACACCACAGTTGAGAAAGGAGATAGAGAGCATAGAATAGAGATACTGTGCTGCTGAACAGCAATGTAGGTGGTACTCATGGGGAAAGGCTATACTGTGCTTTAGGCTGTTGTCTGATGTGTAGTTGGTGGCTGGAATGGCTTATAAAGGCAAAATTTATTTATCCCTATTCATGGCATGTTTTTGCTGTCTGCAAGAAATGCTGACTGCAATCCCTCCTCTGAGGCTGAGGGAGCTGGGGGTGTTTATGCTGGAGAAAAGGAGGCTCAGGGGGACCTTATCACTCTCTCTACAACTACCTGAAAGGAGGATGTAGTGAGATGGGAGTTGGTCTCTTTTCCCAAATAACAAGTGATAGGGTGAGAGGAAATGGCCTCAAGTTGTGCCAGGGGAGATTTAAATTTGAAGTCAGGAAAAATTTATTCACAGAAAGGTTGGAACAAGCTGTCCAGAGAAGTGGGTCTATCACCATTCCTGGAGGTATTTAAAAGATGTGGCACTTAGGGACATGGTTGAGGGGTGGACTTGGCAGTGCTGGGTTTATGGTTGGACTCGGTCTTAAAGGTCTTTTCCAACCTAAAGATTTCATGATTCTGTCTATGGAAAGTCTTATCAGTGGCATTGTTCCCTAAAATATGTGTGGTTTTTCCACTCCCTTTTGTGACCAGGCACATCCTCTGCTGTGGTGGTGGTGAAATGTTTTGAGAGAGCAGCAGTAGAACAGACCTTTTACTTATGTGGCTCTTTAATTTCTTAATGGTCTAAATCTATGTTTAGTCTTCAACAATAAAATTTAGTATTAGAAAAGTTAAACTGCAATGTTATTACTAATTTACTTCTTATGTTCAAGAAGTATAGATTCTGTCTTTCATTTTTAAATTAAAGGTAGCTTATTCCTAACTGAAGTCTTAAATTTCATTTTACTTGGCCTAACATTTTATCATTTTAATCTATTTCAATATCAGTTCAATTTTAGTAGTTAAATAACGAGGCAGTTAAAACACAGAACATCACTGGAATTTTTTGTTGTTGGCTTGGTGTTTTGCTGTGGGGTTTTTTTTCTAAAAAGTTTGTACTGGTAAACCTGAGATTTGCTCTGTTTTGAATAAGTGGTGGAAGAGACAAATCCTTATGACCTAATTTCTCTGATTGATACAAAAACAAAGAAATAGGCAATTTTATTCCCTGGAAGTGGTGAATCTAGTATGTTATGAGTAATAGCTGTTTGTGTGATCTGTTTTAATTGGATTTTAATAATCTGTCTGGGAAGTAAGTTGATTTCTTTCATGAGTTTGTTTAAGCCTTGATGTGAAAGAAAAACATAAAAAAAAGAAAAAATAATGACATTGTAATGTCTGTTGGTCAGGGAAAAGCTGTTTCCACCATGGGTCCCAAAAGTAATGAGGCAGGTACAAATATCTTTTTATTCCCAAAGCAGATGTGATGCTGGCCCACTGTCCCTTACCTGGCTAGCTCAACCCTCTTCAAAGGTTTCTGGGTCCAATAGTACAAACAGCCTTTCAGTGTTAATCTAAAATAATTTTCCCCTTTAGCATTGATTCCTTAAGGTTTTGAAAGGAACTAGGATGGCTGGAGCACCTTGAATGTCTTTCTGACCATGTGCTATACTTCACACACTTTATCCTTTTGGACAAAGGAAACCCCCCATGTATTCACTTCCAGCATTTGCCCCTCCAAAGCTTACATCCAAGACTACTGTTTTAAACAAGCAACTGAAATCATATATTGCCCAACTACAAAATAAAGTATAAATAACATTCATTCCCTTCTTGCTCTGTTGAAAGGCTGCTATAACAGTGTGCATATGACTAAAGTTAATTTCAGATCTCCTGTTTGTAGGCAACTGGGGGAGGATATGAAGGTGAAGATGCATATCCCAATGCAGAACTTTTCTTCTTGGACATTCACAATATTCACGTCATGCGGGAATCTTTGAAGAAGCTGAAGGACATTGTTTATCCTAATGTGGAAGAATCACACTGGTTGTCCAGTCTGGAATCTACCCATTGGTTAGAACATATAAAGGTAACTGTTCCTTGATTGTTTGAAAAGAGTTTGTCCAGATCTGTCGTATCAGACTTGCTTTCTTTGCTGAGATTTGAGATGGTCCTGGTATGGAACTCATTGAACTACTTGGACTAAAAAAACCAGCATCAGTGAGTGTTGACTTTTTTGCCAACTAATCTGAGAGTATATTATGAGATATCATTACTAAGCAACAGTATTCAGTGTTTGTCTGCCTCAAGTTAAATGTCTTTAACAGAGGAACGAATTCTTAGACTGTCTTTAGGTGTATGCAAACTGATTGATTTTGGTTTCTAGCAATACAGGACCACAGATAACTGTCATTGTGAAAGATTAGTAAATACTTTAGTTGTCAGTATGTATGTGACTTTATTTTGTGAATTATGGTCTTGTAAATTTAGTTGTAAATTTTGTAATTTCTGTCTTGTAGCACAAGTAAAATACTTAAACTGGTAATTCACCAATGTTCTTAGTAGTTGACCTCTGAACCTTTTGCTTCAAGTACAGCTGTGCAAAAGTATTTAGAGTATTATGTAATGAATCCTATTTAATAAAATTTTCAATTTATTTTAATATTTGGAAAATAAGCATATTAGAAGGGTACAAGTTCTTTTTTCCAACAACTGAGATAATTCAAAGAATTTAGTTCAAAGAAAGAAGCCAAATGAAATAATACAAAATTTTTAGAGGGTATATCCTGTGGTAAATCCTCTCTTTCTTTAAAAAAGAAGCTTATGTTCTTTGGTTTATCAAGGTTACTGTTTTCTGCCCCATTTTTTAAGAATTTGCTGTGAGATGAATTTGATCTTACTAAGGGATTAGGGAACCAATCCGTTCCTCTATTTTTATACAAGAAATTTTCTTGATCTCCTAGAAAATTCTTTTCCAATTAACCGCACCACGCTTTTTAGGTCTTTGAACGGAAACACCATTAATGTAGGCAGTGTAGATACAAATAAATCAGTGCAGCATTATCATTTTAGACAGAAATCACTGTGTGTTGCTTGGTGTGTGTTCCTCCCTGCCAGCTCGTGCTGACAGGGGCAATCCAGGTGGCAGACAAGGTGTCGTCGGGCCGGAGCTCTGTGCTGGTTCACTGCAGCGACGGCTGGGACCGCACGGCACAGCTCACGTCCCTGGCCATGCTGATGCTGGACAGCTACTACAGAACCATCGAAGGCTTTGAAGTTCTGGTGCAAAAGGAGTGGATAAGCTTCGGGCACAAGTTTGCATCGGTAAGAATTAAAAGATAATCGAAAGGACCGTGCGGTATTAAATTTCTAAAAAGGTTTCATGTTGTAGACGGCGGGATAAAGACACTTTAGACCACAGAATTGATCCATACTTATCCAACTTTATTGCTGTGTGCTTTGTGCTTTTAAAGGTTTAATAATTAGCTTCATACATATTACAAAAACTAAGCTCATCATTGGCTTCTGATTACCTAAAACATATTTGCGCAAATGCTGTGTGAATGCTGTTTTGTTTCATACTCTTATAGTTACTTGTTTGCTATTTGCTCTGCTTTCCCATCCGCTTTATTCTATTCTTCTGTCATGTATGAGTTTCACAGATACAGTGACCTTCCAATAGTTTTCCCTTACCGTGGGACTAGAGCTATAGCATCTTTCTCGTGTCCTCTTTCTATCAACCACCTTTCTGTGATACTCTCGACAGTTTCAATGTTAAGATACTTGGTTTGTGTAAAGGTTTGATAATTCATTTCACTTTTTTGGAATTTGGATTTAAAACATTTCCAGGTAAACTGAGTAGAGCTTTTGGGTTTGGGCCAGTTTGGTCAGTGTTTTTCTTGCTATTCTTTCTCTGAAAACTCATATTTCGTCCTTTACATCCTTTTTAAAACCACAGAATTGCTAGGCTTACTGTGGTTATTGAGCAAAGAAAATGAGAAGGCAGAAAAATTACATCCTCTGAAACTTTTCTGCCAAAGATCAGAGAAAGCTGGGATGTGAGGTTCTCAGTCACTCTCCCTTTGGACTGTTTTGAATGTCACAAAAAGCAGATGAATGAGTCTGGCCAGTGTATATTGTGATATTTTGAATGCTGCTTCCCAAAATGTTCTAAACTTGTCATTATACCTCTCAGGAGGCTGTCACCAGTAATGCTGGTTCTTGTTCTTTTCAGTTGTCTTCTGGATGCTTAGAAGAATAAGTAGAAAAAGAAAGATGTGTGTCCTTCACCATTATAAATAAATTCAAATAATCTGTGATTCTTTTTGTTAAACCATTCATTTTAGTTGGGTAGTCAAAGGACTGTGTTCTCTCTTTAATGGATAATGTTTTTCCCCTAATAGTGAAGCAGGACTTCACATCCCTTCCAGGTGACTCACTCAGTCCATTGGTTCATGTCTGACAATGCAGCAGCAATAAGGATGATTTAAGTAGCTGCTTTTGCTTAAACTGCTATTTTATTTTCCCAATTTGTTCACTCAAGTAGCAATCTTTGCAAATGGTTGAAGCCACTCTTCTTTAGCCACCTGCTGTAACCTGAGAGCACTGTAAATTCTGATGTGATGGATTGTTATGCTTATAGTGAAGGTAGGTCTTTCCTGAAGTGTTCTGTAGAAGTGGTGGAGTCAGGATCCCTAGAGGGATTTAGAAACCTGTGGGGGACATGGGTTAGTGGTGGAGTTGTCAGTGCTGGGTTAATGGCTGGACTTGATGAATCTTTAAGGTCTTTTCCAACATGAAAGACTCTATGAAAAAAACCTGATAATGCAAGCAAAAAATATTTCATCATACATACCCTGGTTTAGTTTGGTAATTATTTGGTTGAGCTGTGGATTTGAATAGTGAGGGCTAGACACTCAGTGCAGTTAGAGCATTTCCTGAACATCACCTCTGAAACTGCTGTTATGTTTTCCCTCAAGTGAGGAGTTGAGGACTAGGATGTTACTTATATTGTCTGGGTTAGAGCAAGCTTCACATTTTCATGGAACCAGAGTTGCAATTTGCATTATTTAATATCAAATAACCAAATAGTAAAATACTTAAGTTCCTCTCCATATTTTTTATCTAATGATGTGTGCAAGAAGTTTCCCTGTTGAAAAGGAATTCCCCACCCCAACTTTTCTATGTGTAGTGAACTTAGTGCACTATGCAGATGATAAAATTGCTTGTTATGTGGAATTTCATTCTAATATGACAAATACAAGACATAATTATAGATGAAAAATACTCAGACATCCTAAAACTGCTAATATTAGTGAAAGCAGACAGACTTTTACTCCTTACTTATATGACTGTTAAAAGATAGCAAGCATTTCAAACCATGAAAACTGAAGAGCAAGGAGGCCAATTTGTTTGTCTTCCCTATAGTGCTTTTCGAGTAATTTGCTACTGTTGACTGAGTTCAGCTGCAATCTCTCATCTCCCTCTATTTCCTGCCACTCAATCCTATTATTTTAAACTATCTTGGAAGCCATTGTACAGAGTAGTGTAGGGGGTTTATGATTTTTCATGTCCTTAAGACATTAAGCTGGTGATCTTACAGGCAGATAGACAACATCTTAGTTCAACGTACTAAGACTTGCCTGTCTCCTCCAGGCAAGCACATTCAAACAGAATTGTGGAATTAATAGAATCTCTGTTCCCTGAATCTTACCTGTTCTCAGCTATGAGATGCTAAAAGGAAGTAAACAGCTTTTACCAAATGTAAATTTTTTTCTGTCTGTGGGGAGAATTCCTTTGATTGTTATTTTAGGCTCCTCAGAACAAGTGGTTCACCCAAACTTCAAACATCTGTATTAATTTTGTGTCAAGAACATGAAGGTTTCTTTGAGCTCCCTTATGTTTGCTGACTACTTAAGGTTCAAGTGTGGAGGGGGAAGAGGGGATTCTGTGTGGGTAGTTTGATCTGGGTTCTCCAGTGGCTTAAAATACAAAAGAAGACAAAGTATTTAACTTGGCTTTTGACAGACTTAGTATGTAAATATAGTTCAAAATATGTTTTGATTATTTGCTAAGTAATGCATGCTTCAACAGTTCTGCTTGTCCAATAACTAACACGTTTTTGTGACAGGACCAGTTATCACTTTGGAATTTTTTTCAGACATCTTTGGAACAGCTTTGCAGTATTTCTCTATATCTGAATCTCTCCTCCTTGGTGCAGTAGCTAATTTGTAAATTATAAGACCAGGTTGCTCTGTTACAAAAGAATGTTCTAGTACAAAAGAAGAAATAATGTCTGTTGCCATAAAATGCCTGTTTTGGTTAACAGGAGGCTGTATTGCTTCATTTCAGAGAATAGGCCATGGTGATAAAAATCACGCTGATGCAGACAGATCACCCATCTTCCTCCAGTTTATTGATTGTGTGTGGCAGATGTCTAAACAGGTATGTTGTGTTATTCTTCAGTAATCACTTCACACTATTACCTTCTGAATCAAACCCATAGATCTTTGTTTTTAAAAAAGTATTTGAAGAGGACAGTGTACCCCTCTGCTCTGACCTGTAGTCAAAAAGCGTGTATTTACTTTTAAACTGTACCATCTCTCTACCCTGTTTCTGAAAGTGATATACAAGCTTGTAGTTACATTGCTTGACATGGCATTGGCTGTGCAGGCACGGCTGATGTGTCCTGGACACTTCTTGGAAACATACTGAGGGATGTTTTGTACCCAGCAGAATGCTTTTACAGGAATTGCATCCAGCTGGCTTAATGGAGTCTGTTGTTTCATTTCACCATTCTGTGAAGCTGTCCCTTGAACTGCAGGGACATGTTGTTTTGTCAAAGCTTGAAAAGGAAGCTTGGGATCTTCTGAGTGCTGTGATTTAAATATTGTATGTTCAATAAGTAATGAGACAAAGCAGCGAACTTGGTCTGTTTAGGGGCAAGGATTAGGATGTAAACCTTTTTTGTCCTGTATGGTGCTGCACTATGAGTGCACTATAGACATAAAATATAAAAATGTATCTGTCTTCTATTCTTTTTATAAATTAAAGGCACTTACAGCATTTTGAGAAGAGTTTCTTTTAGTGGCTAGTTTAGAAAGTTGAACACCTTGTGTCATCTGAACACTTAGTCTGCTATGCAGTACATGAAAGTATTACCTTAAAAATTATTTGTAGATGTACCGTGGCTTCTAAACTCTACCTTTAGCCTTTCAACCAGGGCATGTGCATATCTCTCTGCTTTTTCCATGTAAAGAATGAATTTGTCTTTTCTGGTTTTAGTTTCCTACAGCCTTTGAATTCAATGAGCAGTTCCTGATTACAATCCTGGATCACCTGTACAGCTGCCGGTTTGGTACTTTCTTGTATAACAGTGAGTCAGTCCGAGAAAAAGAGGTTAGTAAAACCCACTGCTTGTTTAATTGCATTGTTGTCCTGACTCTAGGTGATTACAAAAAGTTTTGGTTGCATTGTATTTGGTTATAGTCCTTGGCTTTATTCTTCTTAGGCAGTAGTTGTACGCAGTCACTGAAATACTTGTCAAGCACTGATTTTGGAATCTTTCTAACACAGTAACTTATGCTTCAAAGTAAACCAGAAGTGTATTAATTTTAGAATGTAACCATGGCTTCTGTGATGGATTTCCTGGTTTTTTTGCAAATATTTACTGTTCTTATTTCAATTTCGTTTTAGAAAGTGACTGAGAAAACGTTATCGTTATGGTCTTTGATAAACAGTGAAAAATCTAAGTACACCAATCCTTTTTATAGTAAAGAGCTAAACCGAGCACTCTATCCAGTAGCCAGTATGCGTCACTTGGAGCTCTGGGTCAATTACTACATCAGGTGGAACCCAAGAATTCGGCAGCAAGTAAGTAAATTCTCTGTAATGTACAAAAAATGCTTTTAGACTTCGGAAATATGAAAGTTTTTGTATTATAAGTGACTTGTAGGATAGTACCTGTAATCTGTTTGGGGTTTTAATAATATGTTTGTAAAGATGGAGAAAAAAAGGTGAAACTAATTACTCATTTCTCTCTTATTTGAACTCTGCTCTTCTCAGAACACTGAGTTTTATTTCAGTGTTTAGTAGCAAGTCATCCTCGACTTCTTTCTAGCCCCTTTTCTTGGAGACAGCTGCGGGAACATTTTTTAAGGGCATTTGATGCTACTAAATGCTGAATGACAATGCTTAGAAATAGGGCTTGCTGATCCCTGAAGAGTGAGGGCATTAGCATCACAAACATGCTTAGCTGCACTTGCTTAGTCTTTCTTCTTTTTCTGAGAGAGGGTATGAAGTTCTTTAGAAATTAAATGACCTTTTCAGTCCTTTCTCTTTCAAAACTCTCTGTATTGATGGCTTCTACTGATGGTAAGATGTAATTTTTTTATTTAACTTTGATGACCCAACTTTGTTTACACTTTGAAGGAAGGCTGTTATTGAAAATTATACAAGTGGCTCAGATTGGAAGCCCAGAAAAGCTTTTATCAAGTTACACATAGTTGAGTTCTGTGCTTTTAATGTTTAGTATATGGACACTGGATGTTTGTTACAATCTTGCTCAAAATCTCAGCAATGTGGCACGTGAAGATAGTGCACAGAGACTAACTTGTCTTTCCTTAACAAGTTGTGGAGGTTTGAGTAGGACAAGATAGAGGGACAATTTCTTTGACAGAAGCAGTCTTCACACTCCAGCCCCTGGAATGAGTCAGGAGTTTTGAAGCAATGCACCTCCTTTTCCAAAGCCGATCTCCTGCATTATTTACAGCACTTTGGAAGCTGCAGGGAAGCCAGGCAGTTTGCTATGGCTTTTTGCAAGTACTTTGGGTATTTTAATTTGAAGTTCTTGTTTTAAAGCTTTTTTGGCTGACTGTGAAAGATGAGGGTGTTTTGCAAAAGGTGAATCCACAGATTTATTTTAGAAAATGAAAGATTATAAGACACGCAAATTAGCTGTAGATCTACTTAAAAATGCGCTTTGTCATTATTCAGGAGAGGTTTTTGGCAGGAGTTTCTTAGTAGAAATGCAAACCCATGTGACAATATTCCATGCTGCTACTACTGGTCCCTAATTTTCACCATTTTTTCTATACAAAATGCAAGAGGTTTTTTTTCTGCTCGTGAAATTTATGCTTCATCTTCACTTAAGCAGCTGAATTGTGAACACATGGCGTGAACCATTTTTTTGATTACCTTTGTTAGTGCCATCATTTCAAAGCATGTTCTGCATCAGACCTCAGTCTAATGAAGAGTCTGGTCTGTCAGTAACAAAATCGTTATCCCCACATCACTAATGATCTTAGTACCCACATTCAGCATTGATCCAGCTTCCCCACTTGCCTCAGCATTCATCGTGATCCTCATATGGGTGGGCAGTGAGTGGTGCCCCTCAGAGTGCAGGTTCAGCTGGTTTTGGGAGGCATTTCCATTTGCTCCTGAGACTGCACTGCTGGTAGCTTTGAGTTACAGGCAATTAACTGTGAAACAGCAGTGACTTCTGGACAGTTATATACAGCTGAAGGTAACTTTAGGCCTTGGACATTGGTAATACTTCTTTTCCATTTGTTCCATTACTCTGTCTAATAAAGTGGAAACAGTTAAAATGCTCTCCCAGAGTAATCTCCTGAAAGCCAGGGCAGTTGATTTTAAACATATTTAAGTTTACTTACAGAATTCACTCATAAAGTTTTTTATTTCACTTGTTTATTTACACTAAGTTGCAAATTTACTATTAAAAACTCAAGTAAATCTCATCAGTGAGAGAAATTATTTAATCTGAAGACATGGATTTCATGTCTTCATAATCTAATCTGGCTAAACGCTGTTTTTTAGGGAAGATGGTGAGACATCTGGCCTCTGGAATCTAAAAAAACCTTTTAATAAGTCAAGAAAAAAAGCTTTGGACAAGGTATCTGAATAGCTACTTTGAACACAAAGCTAGATAACAAGAAAATAAAATCTATATGCTCCAGGAAGTGGTGGCTGATTTTACTGAGCTAGGACAAACTGTTCTGTGCAAAGATTTTCTTTGGGGGAGACAAGTGGAAGGCAGTGGGCTCTTGGGTTACAGACATGAGTATTTCTGTTTAGCTGGAACCTGCTACATGTGTTAGGAAACCACGGATACTGCAGCATCCTGACTGTGTAGAAGCAGTTGGACTGAAGTGATAAGACTAACATGGATCTCTTTCTAGCAGCCAAACCCCGTGGAGCAGCGTTACATGGAGCTCCTTGCGTTACGTGACGATTATATCAGGAGACTTGAAGAGCTACAGATCACAAATAATTCTAAGATACCCAATTCATCAGCCTCATCAGCATCTCCCTCACAAATGATGTCCCAAGTACAAACACATTTCTGAAGAAAGTGTTGGCTTCTTTCTATACTGTAATAGCAAGTGGTGCTTCACATAGATCTATAGCAAAAGGAGGAATATTCTAATGCCTTATGTTAGACTGTCCTAACACAAAGTGGTTTAGACTGTCTTTATTTGAGGAGGACTTCAGAACAAACAAAACCAACTCTTCAATTACGTGCCTTTCAGAACCTGTGGACTGGGAACATTATTAATCAACTCATAGTTATGGAGGGCTTTTCAAGAGTTACTTTGGAAAGTCTGGTACAATTGAAATTAAATTGATTTATTGTTTTCATAAGAATGCTTTAATTTATTACATTGTAGGTCATGTTCCTATAAGGAAATTCATGCTCAGTCTTGGATACATGTCGTGAATAAACACATTAATGGCAATAGGAATATTCACATTGTGTAAAATTAGGTATGTGTGTATTCCTGTTAGGGATACATGAGTTCATGAGGTAAAAATAACTTCTATTGTAAGATTTCAGAGAGAAGTGCTGAAACTTTCTGGTTATCAGAGAATTCCAAATTTTCCTTTTTTGAAATAGAAATATGGAAGGCATTTCACTGCTATGCTTCTAATTAAAAAGTTCAAATAGCTCAGTAGATATCAAAATAAAAAAAAAACCTTTTTAACTGTAAATTGATTTTATTTAAAAAAAAGAAAAACAAATGCCAGTTGTACTGGATTTGGAGAAGTCCTGTTTTGGCTAATTGTTCACATCTAAAGTATATTGCAAATCATCACTGTGGGCAATATTGGTTCTTTGGATTAATGCAGAATAAAATGTTTCTGAAGATGGTTTATATAATTAAAAACAGACCCACAGAGACATTACTTAAATATCCACCAACAGCCATAGTATTAAAGCTTCTGTTTGTCTCGTTAAAATAAATGTGCCTGTTTAAAGGAGCTTTTATACCAAAGTAGGGAAAAATTCTCAGTTATAAATAATTTTGAAAACTTGTACGTTTATAGTTTACTGTTTAATTTAACTTCTGTGCAGCAAATTTTATTCTTAAGTATTTAAGGGGCTTTGGTATCCAAGATTTGCATATAGTGAGTGCACTTACGTTGAACCTTCCTGTGAGCTCTAGTTTCAAGCCTTCCTTTCACAGGCTTTTTGTAAACCTTTTAATTTGTTCATTTCAGGTATTTTTTAAATAGCTGCAAGCATTTCTTATGACAGCACAAACTTTGCTCTTGATATTTAATTAAAATTTTGCATATTCTCATAAGTTTAATGATGTTCAGGCAATCCAGGAAATACTGCAGTTCAGAATCTGCAGAGGACTCTAATATTGTTATTTTAAAGGAGATATTTTGATGCTTGAGGCTTCTGTCAGTGTAAATTATTGTACATGTGGTGAGTTTTGATCTGCAAGATATAATAGGATTATATATAAATTAAGTTTTGTGTAAGTATATATAATATAGTTTATTAGAAGTTCTGCAGGTTTATAAAGTGTAAATATTTTGCATATGAAAACTAAATTTAAAGCTATAGTTCCATAAAATAAGTCAAAGTTTAGAGGACAGTGAATATTTTTAAAACAGTATTTTTTCAAAGGAATAAAAGTATACCGCCTCTTGATTTAATTCATTATATAAACTGAGTTGCACTATGTTTTTCAGGGAAGTTCAGAGCATGCAACATGTATGTTCGAAATACACAGGATTATATGACTTATTTTGTCCTCTAAATTTCACTCTCCCGTCTGTGTTCTCCAGTATGTGTATCCAAAATAACAATGTTGTCCCAAAATCTTGACTTGTTAAGGTAAAAAGATGCATTACATCAGGTAAATGAGGAAGGATACTCAATTGTTCATGATGTACTTTACATTTTAAAAGCTATGCATACTCTGGTATATTTGCCTTCTACTTACTCGTGGTTTATTAAAAAAAAAAAGCTATTTTTATTAGAATATTTAAAGTTTCTGTATTTGAGTTGAACATATTGGTGACATCTCTGAGTGGTGTGAAGAATTTCTGAAAATGTAATAGTTTTTACTGTTTAAACACTACATGGTAACCTATTGCATTTGGGAAAGTGTAATATAATGGAAGGGATCTTTTTGCACTTACTTCATTACATATATACCATTTTTCATATTACTGTTCAGCCGAATTTATTTTTGAAGCTCTCTAACAAGGCTCTGTGTGGGCTTGGATTTTTCTCAAGTCAGCAGATAAGATAACTTGTTTTAATTCTGTTTTTACATATTAGACCAATATAAGGGTGGTTTTAATCCAATACCTATTGGAAGATACTACTTGTGAATGTAGGCAGACAAAGCGGTCAATGTTAACACCTCTCTCTTTTCCCTGTAAGGGGTGATCTGGGCTGTTGTTGTGCACACAGGCTGTGTCTGTGCGGCACCTCCTGCCCTGTGCACGCTGCAGGAACAGCTCCCTGCCAGGAACACATCTGGGGAAGCTGCTGAGGTGGTGAAGGAGAGGTGAAGGTGCCGAGTGCCTTTTCCAGGAGGGGTGAAAAAGCAGAGCTGGGATGTCCACATCACCAGCAATGAATGCCCAGTATCCCATAAGAAACGCCCATCTTGGAATGCTAGTTTAGTTTTTTTATGTATTCTTACTTCCATGAACCTGAGGAAATAACCTAGTTTTTGTGCTGGGCTTCAGTTACTTAATTAGAAAGGTGGTTTGTCGAATGCCTTGTTTATTTGCTCATGCCTTACCCCCCCAGCATCACTGTTATGGCTGTACCCAAGACATGACTTGTGTGCTACCTCCTGATGTATTGTTAACCTCTGCCTTGAGTTCAGGTGTTGTCTCGCAGCAAGCATCCTGTCGTGCATGAGAAAACGTGTTTTATAACCGAGCAGGATCTCCTCAGTACTACTGTTTCCTCAGTAACGCTGTCGCCCGCCCTCCCTGGATACCGCGGGACCGCTCCGGAGCCGGGCCCTGTGTGTCGGGCGTCGTCGGGGCGGGGGGAGAGGAGCGAACATCCTCAGTCTGCCGTGTACGTGCGGGGCGGGGAAAATAAAGATGTCAGTGTTGAACCCTCTGCCTCCGACAGCCCTTTCACTGGCGCGCCGTCC